GCCTTGACTTCCTCTCCATATGAAAAATCTATGTCTATATTTTTAAGTCCCTCTTTTTTGTTTTAATGTTGTCATCTTTTACATATTGACATCTGTTTCCCTATTTTCAGTGTTTTAGCTTTGGTTTATTTTTGTGACTTCCCTATCTGGGTTGATATCTGGTTGCTCTGTCCTGGGTTCTAGTCTTGGACCGTTATCTGATGTTACTGATTTTCTAACTGGAGGACTCCCTTTAGTATTTTTTGTAATTTTTGTTTGGTTTTTGCAAATTCCCTAAACTTCTGTTTATTTGGAAATGCCCTAATTTTGCCATCATATTTGAGAGTCAATTCTTGGCTGGTAGTTTTTTTCCTTCAGGGCTTTATATATGTCATCCCGTTGCCTTCTTGCCTGCATGGTTTCTGCTGAGTAGTCCAAGCTTATTGACTCTCCTTTGTAGATGACTTTTTGTTTATCCATAGCCACTCTTAAAATTCTCTCTTTATCTTTGGTTTTGGCAAGTTTGATTATAATACGTTATGGTGACTTTCTTTTGGGATCTACCTTATGTGAGGTTCGATGAGCATCTTGGATAGATATTTTGTCATCTTTCATGATATCAGGGAAGTTTTCTGCCAACAAATCTTCAAGAATTCTCTGTGTATTTTCTGTTATCCCCCCATTCTGGTACTCCAGTCACTCATAGGTTATTCCTGTTGATAGAGTCCCACATAATTCTTAGGGTTTCTCCATTTTTTTAAATCCTTTTATCTGTTTTTTTCTCAAATAAGTTGGTGTCAAGTGCTTTATCTTCAATCTCACTAATTCGGACTTCCATTGCCTCAATTCTTCTATGACTTTCTGTCTAATTCTGACATTTTATTGTTAATCTTCTGGATTTCTGATTGCTGTCTCTCTATGGATTCTTGCAGCCTGTTAAATCTGTCATTATGCTCTTCTCTAATCTTTTTAATTTCCTGTATTGCGTGTTCTGCTTTTTGCTTAATTTCCTTCCTCATTTCTTGAATAGTTCTGTATATTAATCTTTTGTATTCTACCTCTGGTAATTCCAAGAAATTTTCCTCCTCTAGAAAATTTCTAGATTCTTTATTTTGTGAGCTTGCTGAAGTCATCATGGATTGCCTCTTTATGTGATTTGATATAGACTGTTGTCTCCGAGCCATCAGTAAGTTATTATATTTATTTATTTTATGTTTGATTACTGTGTCCTAGCTTCTTGTTTTGTTTTGATATGCCCAAATAAGCTGCTCGTATGAGCTAGTTTGATTATTGGCACCTTTGAGGCTCTAATGTCCTGTCACCAGGTGGTTAGGTCTGTTACTAGGTATGTGAGCTCTGGAGTCCACCCACTCCTCCTGTATGGATTCAGCTCAGGTGCCCAGATAGATAGCCACCAAGTGTGTGGTGTAGGCTCTCACCTACAGTCCTAGACAGGCATGGGTGATTGGTGTAGTCACAGGCATCTGGCTGCAGCAGGGGGACACACTCTGAGGAAGGCAGGGGGCTGACAGCTGCCCCCGTGTCCAGAAGGAAGGCGTGTCCCTGTTTCCTACAGCACGCAGGTGGGTAGGTTTTGCAGCTGGACTATGAGCACCTAAAGCTGTTGGCTGTAAGGACTGGAGGATACCTCTTATTCATGTGCCCCTCTTGAAGGTGGCTAGGTGGTGTGGGTGGAGCCACTAGTCCTCAGGTCCCTGATGTGGATAGGTGAAGACCCTGCTTAATGGGCAGAGCAGTGGAAAAATGTCAAGAATCTGCAACTTCACAGCTGAAACAGTGGAAGTTAGAGTTCCGGTATATCCCCTGTTGTACTGTGGTAATGAGGGGCTACACTGTTGAGATGGGCCCACACAAGTCTATGCAGGGGGAAAGCTACTCAAAGTCTGTGGATCCCTTATGCCTGTGTGTAGGCAAAGGAGCTGTGCCTATCCTGGGTTCCTGGCTTAGGGGAGCCAGCAGTCTATTTTTTCCCCTGTTTGTTAATTTGTTCACTCTCCAAGGCAGGGAGAATGGCTCCGGGTGTGTGACTGGTCTTTCTTCTGGCCCAGGGGACTCGGCAATTGCTGAAGCCGAGTTCAGAGTGAGAAGTGGGGAGGTAAATGGGAGAGAGGTTTTTCCCCAAGGGGGGGTGTTTTTGATCTGCGCGGTAAGCTGTACACAAGTACTTATCTTTTGTGGAGGGCAGCTTCTCACTGGTTCTGCGCGGCCTTGTAGACTCTGGTGTGGTTCTCTCCCAGTGCCGAAAACACACCTCCTGAGCTCAGCTGCCTGCCTGCCTCACCGCTCACCCTTGAGCTGAGCAGGCCTGAAGGGCTCAGGCTCCTGCCAGGTCAGGTCTGGCAACTCCTCGCTGCTTCTGAACTATCTCCCTCCCCCTGCCACTCAGTCTGCCTTTGATGTTCAGGGCTCCCAGATTGCCATATATAATTGAATCGCTTGTTTTTTTGGGTCTTTGTTGTAAGATGGTCCACCAGAAGCGTCTGACTACTCCACCATCTTGGCCCCGCCTCCTGACTCTAAATCTTTTTAAACAGTCTTTTTTAGCTGACTTTTTCTGATACCACTCTGACAGGGATAAAGGGACTCCACCTTGTTGCTGCCAGATAGAGGAAGACTTTCAGGTTCCCTACTCAGCCTGTGTTGATACCTGAAGAGTGAGGGATCCTTGTTAGTGCTGGGTGGAAGTGGGAGTTCTGCTCTCCATGTGTTCTCCACAGATACTCATGGAGGGTGTTCTCTTTACCACTGGGCATGGCAAAAGTCCTGACTCTTCACTAGGCCTTCTTTGACACCAACGCAGTGAGAAGCTGGAGGTGTGCCTCATTACTGCCAGGTTGGAGTGGAAGTCCAGGCTCCCTACATGATCTCTACTGACATCGCAGGGTGGGGAGGTCTCCTAACGGAGTATGGAATTAAAAGTCCCACTCCCTACTTGACCTTCTCTGAGACCACCCTGGTGGAGGTGTGGTGGCACCTTATTACAACCTTGCAAGGGTGGAAGTCTGTCTACACATTTATTCTTTGATTGAATGGAGGCTACAGATTTCCACACCCCCTCATCCCCCCATGGTCTTTGGTGCTAATAAACTGATTATTGTCTAAAAGTTTTATGTCTTGCTAGGCTGCCCCTTTCCTGGTTCTTTGAATAAAGTAAGAAGGCTTTTGTTGGGCCCCCATTTTTTGGTCTGCTCCTGTTGATGTTTCTGGATCACCACATCTTCAATTCCAAGTCTGGGATTATGGGGCAAAGAGAAACCCTGGGAACTCACTACTGTGTCATTCTGTGGGTCCCAAGGTCCCTAGCAAGTCTGCCATCTTTTAGAGTCTCCTTATGTTTGTTTTATATTTAATGTCAAGGATGTTTAGTTGTATTTAGTGAGAGGAATAGGGAAAAGTATGTCTACTCCATCTTCCCAAAAGCAGAAGTCTCCTTTGTAATTTATTTTAATACTATGAACACTTTAAAAATTACTTCATTTACATTGCACTTGTATGTCCCTCTTCCCAATACAGGGAAAAGTTGGGGCTGCTGCCCAGAGAATTGGATGATATCTAATACCAGCTGCTACTTTATTTCTTCTGAAGCAAAAACTTGGACTGAGAGTAAGAAGAACTGCACTGGGATGCAAGCTCTTCTGCTGGTGATCAACGCCAAGGAGGAGCAGGTACTTTCTAATAGACCATGAAGCAGAAGCCCTGCCTGCAGTTTGTTCATCTCTGTTGGCTGAGAAGAGGTCTTATTATTCTGGGATGTTGTTGCTGTGGGAGAAAGCTTTTAGGAAAGTAAACAGGAGAGTCTCCTAAGCCTTTACATTCTATACCTTCTTCCCGCATTAACAAAATCTCCCACCTACTAAAAAAAAAAATTGATGCATTTAAAATATAACATGTGGGAGCTGATTGGAAGGATGAGAAAATTTCAGTCTGACATATCAGCTTGTTCTTTCAACATGTAAATGTTTTATACATCATTCACTGCTTAACAAAGAAGGACTATTAAGTGGAATAGAGAAATAAAGGTGAATCTTGAGAATCACAATCAACAATCAGAAATGAAGTTAAAGCAACTCTGAAGTTATGAAAGAAAAAATTATTAAATTTGTGAACTTTGTCTCATGCACAACTTTGAAGAATACCGTTTCTTAGATAAGAAAAGAAGGGAAGTGGGTATGAGATTAGAATTCAGTCTGATCATGGTTAGAACTCTCATGCATTTGTAAGTGATGTATTTGATCCTGCCCTGCTTAGCCCAGAAGTTCTGTGATCACGATCAGGGGCCATGTGGCTTTCCCTGGTTCCTGTTCCTTTCTTCTCTTTTCTGTAAGACCATAAAGAACTCAGTACAACCTAAGTACTCTACTATCTTTGAGTCCTTTCTTTTCGTCTCTCAGCTATTAATAATCCAGAAGCTGAATAGAAATTCTGCTTACTATGTGGGGCTGTCAGACCCAGAAGGGATGCACCAGTGGCAACGGGTAGATCAGTCACCATACAACAGAAGTGTCACGTGAGTATAGCATTCAGTAAAAGAATCCTGAATCCTGAGCCATACTGGGCCATTCCAGCTCTCAGCTACTAAACAACAACAACAACAAAAACTACTTTATTCTTTTTAAGCCTATGTTTATTTGACACTGAAACTTGTGCTTTTAACCACATTTATATCCTTAAATAAAAGGAAAAAAAATCCATGTTATTTAAGATCATAATTAATGAATAAGGTTAAATATTTGTCCTAAAGCAAAAATACTAAATTGTGATAATCTTATTATAACTCCTATTTTTATAGTTTTTAAAGAACTTTAATATACTTCAGAATGCATTATTACCACCTTTGATCCTCATACAATTGCGTGAAATACATGTGGATAGTACTCAATCCTCGTTTTTTGGATAGGAAACCTGAGATTCAGGGAAATTACGTTACTTGCCCAAGGTAACAGGGAGTGAGTAGCAGATCCAGACATCTTAACTAGTTCTCCAGACTTCAAAAGCAGTGCATAAAGAACAAACTGTATTGATACTTGTGAGCAGGGGGAAATCTTTTCATCATTTAAGGAAGCCCTAGGGGATTGGCGGAGCCCTAGATGGGTGGTGGTTAAGAACATGGCTGCTAACCAAAAGGTCAGCAGTATGAATCCACCAGCCACTCTTTAGAAACTGTCTGGGGCAGTTCTACTCTGTGCTATAGGATCGCTATGAGTTGGAATTGACTCAGTGGCAATGGGTTTGGTTTTGGTTTTCATGGGACTGGTAGTCCCATGGGAACAGGAGAGACAGATGAACAAGTAGACGAGAGCCTCTGGGATAGCTGATGGGAGGATATTTAATGTGTCCTGAGTTGCTTAAGGTGGCAGAATACCAGGTTCGTGGGCACAATTTTCAAGGGAAATGTCAGAGAGACAGACAGAGGAGAAGCTGCTTAAACTTGAGGGTTTTACAAAAGAAGGCAACATCTTCTATTAAACCCATTGTCTTATGAGGAATCACACTTAATATTTATCTGTAATTTTAACCATTTCTTCAAGATTCTACTTATGTGTGTAATTATTTAATAATGTGCATTAAATTGACTTTTCCTACATCCTGTATCGTGCCAGTACTTAATGTAGAAAAGCGATGCATGAATTTTTTATCTAAGCTTGACAGATTGAAAGACAAATGTCATTGTTTTCCAGTAGAAAACAATATTTACCAGACAAGTGAATAAAGGCATTTTAAATGTAGGATTGGATGTATCTGACCTGAACTTCACACTCTTCAACCCCAGCTCCCTCAGTCTCTAAGCCATTCAAAGCATAGTTTGAAGATACAGCCTCATCTTTTTTCTCTCTTTCAGATTCTGGCATCCTTATGAACCCAGTAATTATAAAGAGCATTGTGTTTTCATAAATTTTCGCCAAGGAAACTGGGGCTGGAATGATGCCTCTTGTGATGTACCTCAAAAGTCAATTTGCAAGATGATGAAGATCTACTTATGAATGTAACATTCTCTGTGAACATGTGGTGGATTGACGTCTACCATGAAAGGAATAGCTAATTTTCTCTTTTTGTTCATGTATAAGTAAATCTTGTGTAAGGGATGTCCATAGAATTTTTCAGTAGGCTGTCACCTATTCCATTTATGATAGAATCAGTTCACACATTCATTCATCCATAAAATATACATTTATTGAGCATTTTCCATGGAGGGAGCATGAGCTTCCTTTCCTAATTTCTGTCTGACTACTAACAGATTAGATACTGATGTCATTAGGTACTGATATAACTTGATGTGGTTCCTCCTCTTGACTTGCTTTCTCTTTTTACGGACTGGTCAAAAGCAAAAAAATTCCAGTCATTACTTTTAATTTCTCTCACACAGATTTATTGCTTTTAACTAAAAGCATATTATGTAACAGTAGGCATACAATACACATCAGTTTAAGGTACGTTCCAGCTTTGACCCAGCAGACTGTTTGGGCTTCTTAACATTCTGTATTCAGTCTTGGCATTTAACATCAGGTGCAGACAAAGGGAAATTAGAGATTGAACATTAGAGATTTAGAATTAGAGAGCTAGAGGTCACTGCTGATGAGCTGATCTATAGGATTACATTTTTCCGATATTCTGGTAATTCTTTTCTTTGGTTCATTGTTATAGTTTACGTGCATGGATTCCTACTCAAAATGGCCCTTGGTTTGTTTTTGTTCCCCTTCTTACTAAAGTTCTTACTCATCATTTTCTTTCTCCTAAAATATGAAATATATGTACAATAAAGCCTATAATTCATTGCCTTAGTCCAGTGATGATGACTAAGATAAAGCTGGTCTCATCCACAGCTATACTTGTATGCCTATATACAGTTCCTAATATGACCTCCCGAGATTATGCCCTGATCATCTTGATGCAACTGAGTCTTTCATTTGACACTTTCCCCCTAAGTATATTGGATGATAGTTATTTTTATAGAGGTCTGATCTTACCCATTATTTGTAGAATTTACCAGTGTAACTCTCAGAGAGCAACTTACACAACATTTCTGGGGGAATTTCACTTTATTTTAACTGAAATTTTCTCACTATTATTTCAATAACGTGGATGTCAGAGATGGGCAAAAAGTGTCATTTTTCTAAATATCTTTGACTGACAGAAGATGTGCTTGAACTGGAGTGCATTGGAGAATGGTGATATCAGTCAGTGCTAGCTCCTTGCTTCCCTCTACCTTGCATTTAATGAATGCATTTCAAAGCCTCTATTTTTAATTTCTCCTCCAGCATTATGTCAAAATTGTGTGTAACAGATTTTATGTAAGATTTGTGTTATAGAGTGAGATTAAAGTGATGAACCATCAAACTGAGCCGTGATCAATGAACAGAATTGTGAGAAATAATAAAATTATTGTTTTTTTAAGTCACAAAGTTTTGGAGCATGTATGTATTGTTTTCTAAAGGAGCCCTAGTGGTGCAATGGATAAGAGGTCAGCAGTTTGAACCCACCAGCCGCTGTGCGGGAGAAAGATGTGGCAGTCTACTTCTGTAAAGATTACAGCCTGGGAAACCCTGGGGGGCAGTTCTACTCTGCTGTATAGGGCCGCCATGAGTCAGAATCTACTCAGTGGCACCTAACAACAACAACGCCAACACCAACATTGATTTCTAGGGCTGCTGTAACAAAGTACCAAAAGCTGGGTGGTTTAAAATAATAGAAACTTATTCTCTCACAGTTATGGAAGCTAAAGCCCAAAATCAAGATGCCAGCAGGGCCACGCTGTCTCTGAAGGCCTTAGGGAAGAATCCTTCCTTGCCTCTTCCTAGCTTCTGGGGCTGGAAATTCTTGGTGTTCCTTGGCTTGCAGCTACATCCCTGCAATCTCTGTCTCTGTCTTCATATGGTTGTCTTCCCTGTGTATCTGTCTTCTGTGTTATCTCTTCTTATAAAAACACCAATCATATTGGATTTAGGGCTCACCCTAGACCGGTATGAACTCATTTTAACTAATTACATCTTAAAGGACTTTATTTGCAAATAAGACCATATTCACAGGTACTGGGAATTAGGACTTAAAGATATCTTTTTGGGGGACACAATGCAACCCACAACAGGGTGGTTTATTAATCAACAATATATAACTGAGACATCTTTTGAACATTTATTCTGCAAAATGATGAAGCATATTTAATCACATTGCTGTTTCTAAAAAGATTAATAATTTTTAAAGTGAGAGCAAATTAATTTTTATCGTTAGTGAATAAAATGTTAGATTAATTAAAGTGTTTGTTTTTAATATAACTTAATCTGTATTGTTATGTAGTGGGCATATTACATTAGATCATACATATGTAATTGTTAAATAAATAAATGGTCAATATTAGGTGTGCACATATTAATTTTTCTTTTTTTTTTTTAACTGTTATGGATGTGCAACCCCCGAGTGATTTGAGACCTCTATTTTAGAAGAAGAAGGAGACCTGGTGGCATAGTGGTTAAGAGCTCAGCTGCTAATCAAAAGGTCGGCAGTTCGAATCCACCAGGCGCTCCTTGGAAACTCTGTGGGGCAGTTCTCCTCAGTCCTGTAGGGTTGCTGAGTTGCAATCAGCTCTACAGGTTTGAGTTTTTTGTTTTATTCTGGAAGGTCCCTGGGTAGCGTGAACGGTTTGCACTAGGCTACTAACCTAAAGGTTGGTAGTTTAAACTCACACAGTGGTGTCAGGGACGAACGGTCTGACAATCTGCTTCTGTGAAGATTATAGCCAAGAAAACCCTATAGAACAGTTCTACTCTGTAGCACATCGAGTCTCCGTGAGTCAGAGTCGACTCAACAGGAATGGACTTGTTTTTGGTATTCTAGAAGATAGGTCTTGAAATGCTTAATTAAAGTTTAGGTAAACGTTCCCTTTAAGGTAAAAGAAAAAAAAAAAGACAAGACAAGTTACATACGTTGTTAGGAATGAAACACTACCCAGTCCTACACCATCCTCACGTCTTTGCTATGTTTGAGTCCATTGTTGCAGCCACTGTGTCAATCTATCTCATTGAGGGTCTTCTTTTTTGCTGACCCTCTGCTTTAACAAGCATGATGGCCTTCTTTAGGGACTGGTCCCTCCTGATAACATGTCCAAAGTACCTTAAGTCTCACCGTCCTTGCTTCTAAGGAGCATTCTGGCTGTACTTCTTCCAAGACGGATTTGTTCCTTCTTCTGGCAGTCCATGGTATACTCAATATTTGTTGCCAACACCATAATTCAAAGATGTTAATTCTTCTTAGATCTTCCTTATTCATTGTTGAGTTTTCGCATACATATGAGGTGATTGAAAATACCATGGCTTGGGTCAGGTGCATCTAAGTCCTCAAAATGTCATCTTTGCATATTAATACTTTAAAGAGGTCTTTTGTAGCAAATTTTCCCAGTGCAATACATTGTTTGATTTCTTGACTGCTGCTTCCATGGGCGTTGATTGTGGATTCAAGTAAAATGAAATTCTTGACAACTTCAATCTTTTCTCCACTTATTAGGATGTTGCTTATTAGTCCAGTTATGAGGATTTTTGTTTTCTTTACACTGAGGTGTAATTCATACTGAGGGCTGTAGCATTTGATCTTTATCAGTAAGTGCTTCAAGTCCTCTTCACTTTCAGCAAGAAAGGTTGTGTCATCTGCATATTGCAGGTTGTTAATGAGTCTTCCTCCAATCCTGATGCCACATTCTTCTTCATATAGTCCAGCTTCTCGGATTATTTACTCAGCATAGAGATTGAACAAGTATAGTGAAAGATACCCTTATGCACATCTTTCCTGATTTTAAACCAGGCAGTCTCCCCTTGTTCAGTTCAAATGACTGCCTCTTGGTCTATGTCCAGGTTCCTCATGAGCACAATTAAGTGTTCTAAATTCCCATACTTCACAACGTTATCCATAATCTATTATGAAGTTGGATGCTTTTGCATAGTCAATTAAGCACAAGTAAACATCTTTCTGGTGTTTTCTGCTTTCAGCCAATGTCCATCTGACATCAGCAATGAAATCCCTCTTTCCACATCCTCTTCTGAATCTGGCTTGAATGGCTGGTAGTTCCCTGTTGATGTACTGCTACAACCGCTTTTGAAAGATCTTCAGCAAAATTTTACTTGTGTGTGATATTAATGATATTGTTCTATAATTTTTGCATTCTGTTGGATCACCTTTCTTTGGAATGGGCACAAATATGGATCTCTTCCAGTTGGATGGCCAGGTAGCTGTCATCCGAATTTCTTGGTATAGACAAGTGAGCACCTCTAGTGTTGCATCTGTTTGTTGAAACATCTCAATTGGTATTCTGTCATTCCTGGAGCCCTGTTTTTCACCAATGCCTTTAGCACAGCTTGGATTTCTTCCTTCAGTGCCATCGATTGTTGATCATTTGCTACCTCCTGTAATGTTTGAACATCGACCAGTTCTTTTTGGTACATTGACTCTATGTATTCCTTCCACTTTCTTTTAATGTTTTCTGCATTATTCAATATTTTGCAGCTCGAGGCTTGAATTTTTTCTTCAGTTCTTTTAGCTTGAGAAATGCCGAGCCTATGTTTCCCTTTTAGTTTTCTAACTCCAGGTCTTTGCACATTTCATTATAATACTTTACTTTGACTTCTCAAGCCACCCTTTGAAATCTTCTGTTCAGCTTTTCTATTACATTATGTCTGCAGTTTGCTTTAGCTACTCTGTTCAAGAGCAAGCTTCAGAGTCTCTTCTGACATCCATTTTAATTTTTTCTTTCTTTCCTATCTTTTTAATGACCTTTTGTTTTCTTCATGTATGATGTTCTTGACATCATCCCACAACTCATCTGATCTTCAGTCATTAGTGTTCAATGGGTCAAATCTATTCTTGAGATGGTCTCTAAATTCAGGTGGTATATACTCAAGGCTGTGTTTTGGTTCTTGTGAACTTGTTTTAATTTTCTTCAGCTTAAACTTGAACTTGCATGTGAGCAGTTGATGGTCTGTTCTGCAGTTGGCTCCTGGCCTTGTTCTGACTGATGATATTGAGCTTCTCCTTCATCTCTTTCCACAGATAGAGTCGATTTGATTCCCGTGTATTCCATCTGGCAAGGTCCACATGTATAGTCACCATTTAAGTTGTTAAAATAAGGTATTTGTAATGAAAAAGTCTTTGGTCTTGCAAAATTCTATCATGCGATCTCTGGTGTTGTTTCTATCATCAAGGCCATATTTTCCAACTACCAGTCCTTCTTCTTTGATTCCAACTTTTGCATTCCAAACACTGTTAATTATAAATACATTTTGATTGCATGTTTGATCAATTTCAGAATGCGGAAGGTGGTAAAAATCTTCAATTTCTTTATTTTTGGCCTCAGTGGTAGGTGCGTAAATTTGAATAATAGTTGTATTAGCTGGTCTTCATTGTAGGTGTGTGGATATTATCTGTCATGGATTGAATTATGTCCCCCCAAAAATGTGTGTATCAATTTGGCTGGGCCATGATTCCCAGCTTTGTGTGGTTGTCCTCCATTTTGTGATTGTAATTTTATGTTAAAGAGGATTAGAGTGGGATTGTAACACCCTTACAAAGGTTACATCCCTGATCCAATGTAAAGGGAGTTTCCCTGGGCCTGCACCAGGCCTGCACCACCTTTTATCTTACAAAAGATAAAAGGAAAGGGAAGCAAGCAGGGAGTTGGGGACCTCATACCACCAAGACAGCAGTGCTGGGAGCAGAGCGCGTCCTTTGGACCCGGGGTCCCTGCATGAAGAAGCTCCTAGTCTGGGGGAAGATTGATGAGAAGGTTGACAGAGAGAGAAATCCTTTTCCTTGAGCTGCTGCCCTGAATTTGGACTTCTAGCCTACTAGACTGTGAGAAAATAAATTTCTGTTTATTAAAGCCATCCACTTGTGGTATTTCTGTTATAGCAGCGCTAGATGACTAAGACATTATCCTATCACTGACAGCATCGTACTTGAGGATGGATCTTGAAATGTTCTTTTTGATGATGAATGTGCCACCATTCCTCTTAAATTTGTCATTCCCAGCCTAGTGGACCATGTAATTGTCCAATTCAAAATGGCTGATACCAGTCCGTTTCAACTTACTGATACCTAGGATATTGATCTTTATGGTTCCATTTCATTTTGACAACTTCCAGTTTTCCTAGATTTGTACTTCGTACATTCCATATTCTGATGATTAATGGATGTTTGCAGCTGTTTCTTCTCATTCTGAGTCATGCCACATCAGCAAATGAAGGTTCTGAAAGCTTGACTCAGATCTAAGTCATTAAGGTCAACTCTACTTTGAGTAGGCAGCTCTTCCCTAGTCATATTTTCAGGGCATTCCAACCTGAGGGTCTCATCTTCCAGCACTATATCAGACAATGTTATGCTGCTATTCATAAGGTTTTCACTGGCCAATTTTTTTAGAAGTAGACTGCAAAGTCCTTCTTCCTAATCTGTCTTAGTCTCGAAGCTTTGCTGAAACCTGTCTACCATGGGTGACTCTGC